CGCCGTTTTGCTGCTCACAGTGGCAGCCCTGCTCAAACAGCCACCCCTCCCCTCCCTGTCCTTCCACCTCCTCCTCCAGTGCAAGTCACTGCTCATGATGATGATGATGATGATGTGTTGCCGCGGCAACGGCAGGAGGTGGGCGGCTCCACGGGCGGTGGGCGGAAGCCAGCCGCTAAGCGGCGTGGGAGGGATCTGCCGAGTGCACCCATCACCCTCATTTTGAAAGGAGCAGGAATCCGACTGCTTTTGAGAAGGTGTGGGTGTTGGTGAATTATCGCCTCTCCTCCCTGCAGCTTCGTTAGGGATGTTTGTCTCCCCTCCTTCCTTGCGTCCTTCCTTCCCTTCCTCTCTTTTCTTCCTTTGTCTTCTGGTTTTAATGCCACATGCAGAGAAAACGCAGCTTAAACTTTGAGGGCTCCTTTGATTTGGCCAGTTTTCATGAGTCCTGGAGTTGCTTTTTTAAATTTTTATGCATTATAGCAGAGAAAGAAAGAAACACGAAGCCAGTCTTTAAAAGAAGTTGTTTGTAGTTTTTAAATGACTAGATGAAGTGAAGAAAAGCAAAGCAGGACTGTCTCCAGTCTTTCTTGCTTCCCCTCCCCTTTAATGCAATTTCCCAGCCGTCAGGATCACACTAGAGTCAATGTAAACACATCAGTATGTAACTTTTACCAAGAGTGAACGTTTGACTCGGTTTGATCATGAACATAGAAAAGATACACATGAATAAGCTGGTCTGAAAATCAGGTAAATACAGCCTCAAGGTGAACAGCAACATATGACATAAGAAATGTTTAGACATTATTTATCTCATAAAACAAACAAAAATGCAGAAACTGTGTGAAAAACTAAGTGCACCCCATGATTCAGCAGCTTGATCAGTGTGGAGGAGTTTTAGCCCGCTCTTCTTTAGGACATTGCTTCAGGTCATTGAAGTTCATGCACAGCTCTCTTAAATCCACACCACAGCATTTCAGTCAGGTTCAGGTCTGGACTCAGTGACTGGAAGGTGCCCAAATCATGACCTCTCCACCGCTGTGCTAACAGCTGGTATGAGGTCTTTGATTTTATATTTTTATGACCAAACACCTTGATCCAGAAGTCCTGCAGTTCGTTCAGATGTAACTTTGCAACCCTCAGCAGCGCTGCTGTGCTCTTTTTACAGAGTAGAGACTTGTCTCATGTCAAGTTTTTCTGATTGTACTGTCACAAACTTTAACATTTTACAGGCGAACTGAGGCCTGTAGAGTCTGACATGTAGCATTTGGAGAGAATTTGCTGGGACGTCCACTTCTGGGAAGACTGTGGCATTGTTAACATGCACCTGAACACTCCAGACCAGCAAACTAGCAAAACATCTGCTTTATAGAGGTACTATGGGTTTTCACAGGACTGTTAGTGTATTTTGGCTCAGTTTCTGTTAAATAAATAATGACACAGTGTACTATGTCATGTGCTGTTGTTCATTTGAGGTTGTATTTATCTCATTTTAAGTCCCGCTAAGGAGTATTTTCATGATGTCCAGCATTGGTACAATCTTGTAACTTAAAGAGGTAGAGTGTGCCTTATTTCACATGATTTTTTTTTTTAATGTTTTAAGAGAAATAAAATAGGAGAATAAAAGAAGCTGTTGTAACACAAACAAGCATATTACAAGCAGATTGTATCATTAAAAGCCTGAAGTTCTTTATATTCTTTGGTTTTACAGTAAGTAGGAGGTCATCAGCGAGCTTGTATGTTCAAACCTCTCAGCTTAGAACGAATCCTCTGTCAGAAATGTGCACATGGTCTGGGACATGTTGGGGCACATTTAATCCCACTGATTTTATTTTTAGAAGCTCACGATTGTTCATTAAAACGCCTGCAAGGGCTGCAAAAGTATGTGGACACCAAAAGATGTCTTGTATAGTCCAAATGAACAGCAGTAAAACAGCAGGTATTCATCTGCCGCCGCTTGCTGATAAACCTCTCCTCAGCCACAGTCAGTCAGATCATCTAGTTTAGCTCAAATCTGCATAAAAAGGGATTTTTTTTTAACGTAAAAATGTTGATTCCTGTCAAGTAAAAACCCTCTGCGTGCAATTGGTCGGAAGTCCCCTTTGCTTCTGATCACATGGAAATCAGATTTTCAGGCCAACTTCATGAATGTTTCATGTTCAAGTGCACTGGAGGCTTTATTAGTCAGCTCTAATTTGTTTGTTTTATCCTCTTTTGGCTCTCCAGGTGGGTGGAGTTTAGCAAGATAGAGTCAGATAAAAAAAAAATGTAAAAAAAAAGTTTGGGAAAAGTAAAGCAAACACTTTCCGGTGACTAATCTGCGGTGTAGGTCATTATTTAGTGATGGGCGTCAAGCTCCACCCACGCAGGCCGCAAAGGAGGTCAAAACAAGCATTAAAATGCTGCCTGACTCAGGAGGAACAGGCTGATAATCTGTAATCTGGTACATTGAGCTCTGCAGATTGAATTAGACCTGAGTGTGACACTGTTTGGGAAATTTCTGATGTGTTTTTCTGTGTTTTTTCTGCAGAGCGTGCATGTGGTTCCCAGATTTCTATCTGCAAATCATCAATCTGTCACTTCATGAATGGAAAAAAGCTCCTACACGCCTGTAAACTAGTCTCACATCACTTTCTAACCGGGAGATGGCGCTGTAGATGTTTTTTTTCAAGGACACACACACACAAGGCGACAGTCTGCAGAGAAAGCCCTGAATGTGTGCAACACCAAAATGAACCACAAGGTGGCAGAGCAGCACAACGCATCAGTGACAGTCCTGCACAGGTCCGCTTAAGCCTCTTTATTCCTCACCACTGTACAGAGACGTGATGCTTTAATATTTATTTAATCACTTTTATATCTCAGGTCTCTTCCAGGGTGTGTTTCCTTATTTTTGTTTATTTGTTTTTATTGTTTTAAAGTTCTACTTGTATCCCTGTAAGGTTTTATAGTTGCATTATATAATATTTTTATAGTTTTCATTTTTATTTATTACAGGTTACAGGCATGGACAACTGGTGGAGAGTAAGACTGTGACTCAGCTGAATGAATAGGAAGCTTAAAATAAGGGAGAAGCAGAATATTTTAACATAAACTCAGTGACCGGTCCAGAATGTTTTGTTTCTGTGTTTGTTTGTTTGTTGGCTAAGCCATTTAACACGGAACCTAAAACACACACAGTTTGACAGCTTAAAATACTATTTTTTGCACCATCGAGGTGATTCCCAAAGAAATATTAACTGAGAACTTGTTTTATGTCTGCATGGTGTGCAGTGTGTTCTTAAAAAAATTGAGGAAAATGGAGAAGTGGGCGCAAAAGCAGAAGTATCAGGCGAAAAAAAAAGAGAAAAAAACCCCCAAACAAACAAACAAACAAACAAAACAAAACAGAACAAACTGAACGTCATGTCCTTAAGAAACAGGAACAAATCCAGCAAATACTTGACACAAAATCTGAGAGATCCATCTGGACCTTCAGTGGATCCATTGACTGTTCACTGAAGCTTCACATTACACAAGAACTGCACTGAAATTCTGTGACAACAGGTCTGATGGAGGCTCTGTCATGGTTTGGCTGCATTTCAGCCAGTGGTGTTAGACATCTTCTGATTGGCAGCAGCTTCATTTTCATAATGACAATGATCCCAAACACACTGCCAATGCAGTAAACACTGTCAGTCATGGATTGGCCTCCCCAGAGCCCGGACCTCAACATTATTGAAGCAGTGTGGGATCATGTTGACAGAGAACAGAACAAAAGGCAGAAACATCCAAAGAAGAGCTTCAAGAAGCCTGCAGAACTATTCCTACTTAAAGACATGGCAAGAAAGCTGCCTAAGAGAGTTCAGACTGTGCTGAAGAATAAAGATGGTCACACCAAATAAAGACTTTCAAACTCATTACTTGTACAATCTCTGATTTTGACTTATATACTGTATTTACATATGTTTGCACATGCTTCAATAAATCACTTCCTATTTTCCTACCAAAGTATAAAGAAATGAGGGGTGACTCAAGATTTCTGCACAGCAGTGTGAGTTATATAGCTGTGCAAACTTGTTTATTTGAATCATCTGCACATGATTTCTGCAGGCCAAGCATGAAGACTCATGCACATGAGTCAGTCAGGAAATATTAGGCTTATAATATTTCAATATAGTGATGTTTATGACATTACTTCACTTATATTGTGTTTATTCTTAAATTCTTGTATATGTGTTATGTGATTTCCGGCACAAATAATAACATTTCTACAACTAAGAGTGCAAAATGTGCATTTAACTTAAAATGAATGCAGACTACATAGTTGTGACTCATCCGATAATTTGTTTTTTTCTACTTAACTAAAACTGGATGCCTAACTTCCATTGTATCATAAAACATATACTTTCTGTCTCCCCAAAAGTTATGTCTGTGCTACAGCAGCCACAAACAAAGGCTACATGAAAATGGAGTGGATAAAGTGGGCCAGTAAAAAATAAAAATAACATGAACAAATAGGTCTAAAATGTATCATGCCTAACATAAAGCAGTTCAAATAAATAGAAAACGTGTAGTAAAACAATAAAATAGGAAATTAATTGAATAAACAATAATAAATGTAAATAAAATTCAATGAAATGCTTTGTAAAAACGTGACGTAATACAATATAGTGGCCCTATAAAGTAAAAGAGCTAAAAAAGATTAACTATAATAGATTAAAAACAGCCATTAAATGTAGTAAATTCAAAAATATGATTGTTTTCGTTATTTATTGTGTTTATAAAGACAAAAGATATCGAAACTGTGCCTATAAACATATAAAAATGGGCAATAACATAAACTTGTTCGCTAATTACGGGAAGTGATGGAGATAACAGGACCAAAACACGATTCACAACCGTGGGCGGGACTGTTAGGACTTCTCACCAATTAGGTGCGCCCATGGGTCAAGCCCGTCCAATCACAACTCACGCGGTGGATAAGGTTGGTTGTATCCCGCTGGAGAGCTTTTTTCCGCTGTTGAGTCAGCGGGCGAACCGTTACTCGACCGATACAGCGGCGCTCTCACCGGGAACCGACCTCTACGATCCCTCCACGCGGTCCTATAGTAACTCCACTGCACAGTTCGTCTGTACCACAGGGTTGAAATGTTACATCTTCGGTCTACAGTAACACTCAAGGAGTTATTCCAGACTCAGCTGAAGCGGCCGCTCACACGTAGGGTCGGCGTTAAAGCAGCACCTGCTCCCGCCGCCTGCTTCAGCAGCCTGAGTCCTGATGGACGGTCACCGGGTAGAGGGCGGTTTTCTGGCTGGAGAGCCCCTCAGCACTTGGCCAGGAAGCACGCATTGAGAGGCTTTTGCTCCAATGACTCCACCGGCAAGGATTCTTCAACAGAGAAGTGAGTAACGTTAACAGTAGGACGAACTCGATAGAAAAAAGGAGCATTTTTAATGGGGCGGTAAGCAATCATGACATCAAGGTGCCTTTACCTTGAGGCTTCTCATTTAAAAAAATAAACCAGTTTTACTTACAGAAAGTACGCGGAATTTAAGAAATGCGTCTAATTTCGCATTGTATTTAAAAATGAATCACTTTATGTATAACACTTGTACAAAAAGGGACGTTATTTGAATTTAGGCTTTTTACAACGTAGTTTGGTGCGAAGGGTCTAACGCGCATCACGCGAAGTGGCTAGCTGCTAGCTCGGATGCTCATTTAGCTCAGCCTGCTAAAGGCTGGCAAGGAGGGTTGGGTTTGCCGGGGAACTGTGCAGGTCAGGGGTTGTAGATGGGGGGATTATGGGTGCAAGTGACCGGTGATAGTGCGCCCACCTACGGGCTCAGGCCAGTGGAGAGCTCCGGTAGGTAGGAGGTAAATCCAGCAGCCATTATCGGACAAGTTTAATATATCTAAGATGACTTAGTAGTTCCAGTATGAACCTTAAGGATGTTTTGTGGCATTAACTTGCTCTAAGCGGGTGGCGATTAGTCAGAATGTACTCAGTGGAAACTAGTAGAAAGGAAGTAAATTTGAGACGTGTCCGAGAATGGAAGCACATGCAGTGGGGCAAGCTGATGCCTTCATCCATCCAGACTCAGGGGCTTGACTCAGCCTGCACCAGGTTACCCAGTTTAAACGAAAAATTAAGGACAACTGAAGCTGGTTAATGTTTGGATCTCCACTCCACACCGAGCATCAGCTCCATGCATATTCAAGGTCACCCACTATTGCTTCCATAGGAGTGCAGCTACTGACCTGAATTAATACACTTATCATTAATTATAAAGCACAGTGTATGCCACATGATGAGAGGCAAAGTAAAGCAAGTCTAAAGTATAGACGCTTGTTTCTGCCTGGGGGGAAGAAACTATAAACAAACTGCTGGGTAGAGCCAAGCTACAACTTCCAGGTATTTCAGAGTAAGTAAAGATTTTGAGATAGTAACCTGAAATTGTCCCTTATGGATGCCAAAAAATGTTTATTCAGTGGCAGAAACAAAGTTTTATTTTAAATGCCTCTAACTACCGACATAAATACAAAATAAGTAGAATAAATCATAAATCAGTATAAATCATTAATAACATTAATAATAACAATAAAATAATCTGTTACGTTACTAATAGCAAAAAGAAATAGCACAATGAATCAAAATAAAATAAAGATAAAATAATGAAAACATAGACACAAGTTAAAATCAGTTTTTGCCATGTTAAATGTTTAACACATATATAGTTGTGGACATGTTCTAGGGTGGAACGATCGTACAGTGACTTTAGAAAACAAGAATTTTGTGCACAAGTTTGTATTTATTTAGGATTTTCTCTAATCGACACAGGGTTAAAAGTATACATACAGGCTCAAATATATACATACACTCCCACTAAATGTTTCTTAGCATGTTGCACCTTGATTGGGTGGTTTTGGTAGCCATCAACAAGCTCCTGGTATAATTGTGGCTGATATTTGACCAGTCTTCTTGGCATTTCATTAACGTTGGCACAGACGTCTTGTAAGATCCGGAATCGAATGTGAAATGCTGCTCCTCACACACAAGGTCTTGAATAATCAGGCGTTGTCTGATCTTAGAGACCTTATAGTATCATATCACCACAGTAGAGCACTTTTCTCACAGACTGCAGATGTACTTGTGGTTCCTAGAGTATTTAAAAGTAAAGTTGGAGGCAGAGCCTTCTGCTTTCAGGCCTCTCTTTCTGTGGAACCAGCTTCCAGTGTGAGGAGCTCTTTCTTTTCCCTTTGTTTCCTTTCCTTTTCCCGAATGTCTCTTTCTCCGAAAGTGTGTCTTTGTCCTGTCTTCATTCCCTCACTCCCATCTGGTCATGCTGGTTCTGCTGGAGGTCCTTCCTGTTAAAAGGGAGTTTTTCCTTCCCACTGTTGCCAAAGGCAAGGGGTTATCTAGTTTTTGTGGTTTCTCTCTATTATTATAGGGTCTTTACCTTACAATATAAAAGCTTATTAAGGTGACTGTTGTTGTGATTTGGCATTATATGAAAAAAATTCAATAGATTTATTATGGATGTCAGTTTTTATTTCTGTTATGAGACCAAACAGGTGAGCGTCCAGTAATTTCTATAATGATGCTGAAATGGACAGAAAAATGTCAAAGTAAAATACAGAATTAAAAAAAAAATGTATGTATGCCAGTTGAAAAAAAAAAAGATCTTCCAAATATAGAAATTAAAAAAATGAATAAGTCCTAATTAGTTATATTAAAAATAGTATAAATTAGAATTAAATAAATTAAATTCTGGATTATTTTTGAAGTGTATTATGTTTTTTGTTTATTTACATAATTGGTTCCTCCACAGATATACACTGTCATGAATCAGCTTTCTTTAAAATCATGAAATTCAGCTATACTAAAAGTTAGCTTACTGTCTATCAAATACATAAGTAGATAAATAGAAAAAACATAAAAGAAAATACAGACTAAAAAAAAAAATCTTGGCGATAAAAAGCAGTACAGGGATGAGGTGCTGTGTTTTCATGTAGCGGCATATTAATTGATTTTTGTATCATTTTAATTTACATTTGCTCTCTTTTGGACCTCCGTACAAATACAGTGAATGAAAATATGAGTGTCAGAATTTTGAGTATAAATTAACTCTATCATGAGGAGAGGGGGCTGCAGGACAGCCACAGTGGAGGATTTATAATTTCATTATTCTTAGAGGCAACTCATTAAGAAAATATATAAAGATGCACATAGTTGCTGAAGATCCAGCATGATAACCACCCGGCCGATCATTTCTTCCCCTCGGAGCAGCTCTGACACCAGCCTGTCTCCTTAGAGAGCTTCCATAGTCATAAAATGCCTCATTGCCCCTGCAGGACAGAGTTGCCCCACTTGTTTCTGTTCACGGACAATTTGCTGAAGCTACTGGCGGCGTTCAGGCCGTCGCTCTGCTCAGCTGACTGGTTGTCAGCCCCCGGAGGTTAATCCAAGTCTGAGCCAAGCTTCGGCTTGTTCTGTGAAGATCACTGTGTGAATTTTATCAGCAGCGTGAATCTTGGTGAGCAAGCAGGTTCATCGTCTTCCTGAAAAACTCAACACTTTTGAGGAACTCAGTGACTTTTCTCTATTAGGCAGCTTAAAGGAGCTTGGTTTACATGTCAGTGATCGTATATAGACAGCACATTTAGCTTCCAGGTGATTTCCATCTGCAGTTCCTGGACAGCTACACACAATATTAAATATCCTGTATAATATAAAACCTTATAAAATAGAGTAATATAAGAAGATATGCAAAGAAAGTCTGAAAATCCTCCAGCCATACTCCCACAAAACACATTGTAAAACCTTCACATAGCCACACTCATCAGTTTATTTCCATAATAGGGATTGATTATTGGGTTAGTTTTTCAGCATTTCAGGGTTCTTGTGGGTCATTAAATAGCAGTCTCCAACATCCAGCAAACCATAAAAATGTAAAGATCTGTAGTTTAATCTGTAATATCTGTTGTTTTGTTGCTGATCAGGCAGTTTGATTAAGGACTCAGTTTGGCTTTTTACCTGCAGTTTTTGATTGTGACTACAGTCTGTCTCGTTTGTGACTCTGCCCCTCTGTAGGCCTAAACTACAACATCGCCAGCTTTTTCTTCAGTTCTAGAATGTTTTTATTCACATTCTGAACTAAAATACCGCAGGTGGGAGTCACCAGACACCACACATGATATGCGATATTTAACTTTTTGTGATATGCTGTCTACTGCAGAAACACACACTGTGATTTATCACTGTTTTGCTCTCCAAATTTTGTCCTCAAATTAACCTCAGTCAGTATCTGTTTTATACAGTAAGATAAAGTTATCTCACTTTTAAATGAAATTACTGGCAAACTGTTTCTGACAAAATGGCAATGAACTGATAAATCATGGAAAATCACATATCTGTTGCTGTCTTACATTTTAGCCCTCCGATAACCAGAATATAACCAGTCGAGTTGTGCTCATTCACAAAGACTGGTCCAGATTAATGGCAACGGCATCTGTCGGCATTTAAAAACTAGACGGCAATTATTTGCGGTCTCTCTGAGAGTGACTGAAATAGTCCAAGTCAGACTGCAGCTGTTTGCAGAAAGGTTGCACAGGTCTCCTGTTAGAAGGCAATCACCCTCAACAAAAACCTTAATACAACCAGGAAGCAAGCTTTTTTCTTCTTCTTTTTTGTAGATGTAAACAGGTTGCTGTCCTATGTTTAGCTTGCAACATGAAATATTCGTGCACACATTCACTCTGATGGATGCATCTGGGGCGACTCAGTGTCTCACCTGAGGATACTTCGACATGCAGACCACCTTCTTACACGACCACCCCACAGCTGTTTATTAAGACATAACAGTATTACATATTTATTAGTCAGGGTTTCTTCAGTCAGGTTGTTGGACTGTTTTGTTAGAGTTCAACACATAAGATGTACATCCTGGTGTTTGTTGCTTTCAAACACTGAAGTCTGAAAAGAAAAGACAGACAGGCTCAGCCTGAGCTGCACGCTGACTCTGAGGGCTCTGAGGCCGTGCTTCAGCTAGTAAGGGCTCAGAGCTTTTTGTGATGCAGAGGAGCTCATCCTGCCTAAATCATGTCTTCACTTTTTAGTTATTTATTTATTTTAAGCACCGTGAGCTGGCGTGCCGCCCAGCAGATGTCAGGGCCTCGAGCAGATGAGTCAGTCGCATAGATCGATTCGTGCAGCGCCGCCTCTCTCTCAGCGCTTCCAGTCTAATGTCTGCCTCCGCCCTCTCCAACCCACCAGCAACAATTTGTCATGATGCCTGTGAGGCGGTGAAACCAGCGCCATCGATCAGATTAAATAAATGCAGCAGATACTGACGGCTCAATTCACACAGAGACCTCCGCCTGTCAGTGCGAACACCTCAGGCCCCAACTTCAAGGGAGTCGCACCACCTGATGGTGGGCTCAGAGGGAGACTACGATGGTGGTGTATTAGTGTTAGGGCCTGGTTGAAGAAAACAATGTAATGTGAGGGTGAAGTTCAGAGGAAATATTTATATATAAAATATAAATATATTTTTTTCCTCATAATTTTGTGAGTTTCTTGCAAATTTTGGTTTGATAAATTTTCCTAATTTTTCTTGTAAAACCTAGATATAGACATGTCTTTGAATTTTTAGCCTTTTTTAGGCAGGATAGTTCAGCGAGGTGACAGGAGAGCAGGCAGAGAGCTCACCTGCTTATTCAGGTGAGCCATGGTGGTGCATAATTTTCCTGCCTTTTTCTTGGTAAGTTTCTGCTTTTCCCCGTATATCTGGCAGTTTCTTTTTCATAAATTTAATTTAGTTTTTTCTCACAAATTTGCCAGTAAATTCTTGTTAATTTCCAGGGTTTTTCACCATAAAGCTCCCAACTTTTTAAAACATAATGTGGGTGAGTTACATCTGTTTAAACAGCTGCCTTAGCGTTGATGAAAAAGGTTTGAAGCATTTGTGTTAGTAGTGCCGGGTAAAATACTGATCCTGTGGGGGGTCTAGGCACAGAAAGGTCACGTGTGAAGGAAACGTCTCCAGATTCCTGCCTCAGTTCAGTTAGATGCCGTTTCGATGACTCTTCTGGAAGAGGCTCACTCATCTGCAGTACAGGAGAGAGTTTTGTGGAGTGGCTGCTGCTGTTTCAGCTTCTGTTCGCGTTGACCTTTAAAAACAAACAGAGCGAGAGGAGGGGGAGGGAGAGCGTGAGCGAGAGTACTAATGAGACCAGCTGAGGTAGATTAATGAGACCATCCAGATGTTCCAGTGTCCACCTCTAACCTGCCTCTGGTAATGATACTCCCACAGGGGAAGTCTCTCACTCAAGAAGGACCCTCTTACTTCACTACTATTTGGTTACAGTGTCATGTTCCTTTCAAGTGTTACACGGTTAAAATCCACAAGCAGCCATTTCTGTTTCATTTTTAGGCCAAATGTTTATTTATGTGGAAATGGCTGTTTGCTTTTGATTGGAGCTGAGACCTCTGACTCCCAAGCCGGCTGGGCCTCATCTGTTTCAGTGGTGGGAAAAAGTATAGTGGTAGTAGTAGTAGTAGTACTCAGTCATAGTAGTCATTTCAGATTATACTATTCATTTGTATGTCTCATAGTGTATTTCAATGCTGCATGTTTTTAATGTGATTCACTGTGAAACGCTACATTTAATGTCACAGCTTCTGTTTTATTTCTTGTCCTGACAGCAGCGTGATCTGAAGACGTGCACTGTGCTGATCACATGTGTGCTCGCTGTTACTGTTTCAGTTTAATGCCACTGTTACTAATTCAGTGTTATCCCTCTTCACTCTCTCTGTCTCCCTGTTGTTGATCTTCTTGTTTTGCATTTGTAAGTATCTTTCTATTTTGTCGTTTTAGACTCTTTTTTAAAAGTTTTTCAAAATAAAATCCAGTAGAAGTAGAGGTTTTCTACGGAAAGCCAACAACTGCTTTTACTTAGACATGACCCCACTTCCTCCCAGTGGGTGCACTTCAGTCCCTCTCTATTCTACCTCACCCTCCATCCTTCCATCCTGTCTTCCTCCTCTTCCTCAATCACGCACTCTCTGATGTGTATTCCTTCCTCACCAGCAGCCTGCATTACTGCGGTCAGAGGTGGAGCACGATGCAGCGACCCCGACATGCTAACCCAGACAGCGTGTGAACTGTTTGTAGTGTTACTGCTGCGTTCCACTGATGCTGGAAAGTCAGAGCTTCCTCCTAAGGAACTGTTAAAGAGTCAGATTTTCAAGTATGGGGCGGTATTCCTCTGAGAGGTGCAACCTAATGTAATCTATTTAAACAGACACACTTTTAAACTATATGTGTTCCTCGCTGAGACGTCCTGACTTTTCACTCTGAGTGGAACTTGGCACAAAAGCTATAAATCTGACTTCAACTCGCTGCCAGTGTTTCCTATCCTGGTTTCTGCAGCAGTGGTGCTCAGGAAAACCCCTGTTCACGTCTGTTATTTTAGTCTAAGTCACTCTGTGTTTCTCACATATTCAGGAGCTGTATGTATGTCAGAGATGCTCCAATCCAGCCTTTTTTACTTCCCACACCCATGTAAATAATAAGCTGTACTCCTTACCCTGAGGAAAAAGACTGGGAATCATTCTTTTATATTTAAAACCACACGAGACTCGACAAAAAAATATTGGGTTTCTCCCCTTTTGAATATAGTACATCCATAAATAGAAATTATCAGGAGGAAATCCTTTTTATTTTAGTTGGAAGGACAAACTATAGTTTCAGGAATTCAGTTCAGACTCGGTTTAATTCAGTTCTATAAGTGCAGTCATCACAAGGACGAAAGCAGCTTGAAGTAAAAAGCGCTGTTGCTTAAATAAAGGCTCTGGTTTCTCCTTTACTGTGAGTGCCCCTCCTTGCACACAGAGTGGAGTAGACACTGATTGGAAGCTTTTATGCTAATGGTAATGTGACATGTTGTCTCCATCAAATGCAACATTTGATGGAGACAAAGAGTGAGCGCAAGAAGCTGAGAGTGAAAGCTTCTGTTAATTGTCCATTTCCTCTATTAGATGTTGTAATTTTCTGATGGTTGCTGCTGCTGCATGATTCCAGAGGAAACTCTGCTGATGCTGAAATTATAATCTGGTACATTTCTGCTCTCATGTATCCAAACTTGGCTCCTTTTCTTTATTTCTGGTTGGCTGCCGAGAGGAGCCGCCTGCCAACTCAAGTTTGACCTTCAGACATCCTCTCCTAGCACCAAGCCGCCCCCCCCATGATGCATTGCAGGTCATCGTGAGCACCCAGAGCTTTGTACAAATCCAATTTGGTGTTGGTATGAATCATAGCAGAGAGCCTGCTGTGAACCCTTCGTCCCATCTGCCTCCTGACACGCTACTAACCTTCCTCCCAGAGACGACTTCCTGTGGACACTCTGCTCCGAATACCAGCCAGGAAACAGTGCTAGATATTCAGGTTTCCTTGAAGTGGACATTTTCTGCTCAGATTTCGGTCACGTGTGAGATGTTTCACACTCAGGTAGTTTTTTCTACTCGTGGCTCTCTCAGAGAGGATAACCCTTAATAAGGCCATCTGAGCACAGAATCCCCACCCACCTCCTGTCCAGAACCTTATATTTGAGAGGGACAGGAAGTCAGAAGAAAGTTGTCTAAAAAGGGGAGGAGCTAAAAAAGCTTATTTTAGACAGAGGGGGAACTGAGGGGCTGCAGTATAATTTAAAGAAGGATTATTTTGAACTATGAATCATCCAGAGCTGCTCTGGTAAAGACCAAGAATTAAAAAACATGGAGATGGACATGAGCAGAATCGGTTAACTGTGATGATTTTTACCTTTTACTAAAAGCTCAAATGCCAAAACACTGACTTGTAGCCACAGCTAATTTGCAGGCCTTGTCCCTGGTTAGGCTTTTAAGACGCACCATATCAAATATAAAATCAGACAGTTAGAATACAGAAACTAATACAAATAGAATCATTAAAAAAATCTATTTTAATGATCATAGATTTGCTTTTGTTTAAACTATAACCTTCCATTTACATTAAGAATTTAGTAAGATAATGTTTCAAATCTGAGCCAATTAACTGTAAAGGACGACTAACCAAATGTTGTTAAGATTTAGGTATTTACAATAACTGTAGTTCCTCTTGTGTGGGACTAGTATTGGACCCCATCACTGTCTATTTGTCATTTATTTCTTTATTTGCTGCTAACTCAGCTCTGAAGGATAAAAATGGAGCTCTGGTGACGCTGTAAGTCTGACGTAGGGTTTTAGCTGCCACGCCGAGTGCTAACCCATCACTCTGGTTGTGTGTGTGGGGTTGGGTTTTTTTTGTTGTTTTTCTTGTTGGTTTTTTGGGTTTTCTTCCAGCCACTGAACACCGTCAGCATGCCGGAGGCCTTGGCTAGTCTCCCTGTCCCAGCTGCAACAGTTAAGGCCCAGTCATCACATCCCAGACTGTGCTTTTATTCAGCTGATTGCACCGACACTGCCACCTCACACACAGTGTGAATGACGAGGCCTGTAAGGGTCGTCTGTCATGAAGTGTTGGTGGTAGTTTTTGTTGTGCTGCACTCTCCAAACTTAAAACTAGGAAAGAAATTTAGCACTAAATTCTCTTCTTGGTTTGAAGTGTTTTTTGGTTAAATTCTGTGTAAATCGTTAAATCGTTAAATCTTGGGTTTTGTTAACTTGCATGCTGGGAGCTTTTCAAACACATTCCTGGCTGATATTCAAGCAAGGTACAATTAACAATTCCTGTGGCCTCAAAGCAGCATATTAACCTCCTGGAAAAGTATGTTACTAAAAGTATGGAGGTATACTTTTCCACAGGTTTTAATGCTGAGGTAAGGCAAGCTGAGGCCGTGTTTTCCTTACTGTTATTACTCACTGCTTCTCCCTGCAGTGAAAAAGCGTTTTCTTCTCCCTCTGCTGCAGCCCCCCCCCCCTCCCCTCCTCCTGTATGTCCACATTTCCACCACAGCTCCTCACTGTGGAGTTATTTTTCTCACTTTTCTGTCTCTGCCTGTTTATTTTTGCTTCCTGCAGGAGAAGAAAGGCAGGCATCCTGCCCAGCCTGGAGGATCTGCTGTTCTACACCATCGCAGAGGGCCAAGAAAAAATCCCTGCTCACAAATTTACCACAGTGAGTTATCACAGCAGTGATATGTCTGAGAGTTGGATATTTATGGTGTCGGAACCTTTTGTTAAATAGAAATATTACTAGAAATAAATTATACAAGAGAAAATGGCCCCAAATCGCCCACAGGAATGGAGACAGAGTAACAGAGCAGATCTCACTTATTATTAAACTTAATTAACGGAATAATGGAGAAGATTAAGTCATTAAACATTGTGCAGATTTGGATAGATCTTAGAAGTGAAATCAAGTGTTGGCTTAGAATCACACAAACTTGTTGAAGATATTTATGTAGTCTAAATTTCTCTTGGCGTGAAAGTACAGTGGTGTACTACCATCCTGCAGTGTTGGAAACCAGCTTGAAACAGGAACTTCAGGGTGGTTTTATACAACAGTTCCTCCCCTGGATAAACAACCTATAAAAACTACTAACTAGATGTTGTGGTTATCGTCTTCGCTGCAGCCCATCCAGCTGCAGCAGAAGGCCACTCCTCGCTTAGCCCGGTTCTGCTGGAGGTTTCTTCCCTTTAAAATTCAGTTTTTCTTTCCCAATCATTTTTCGTAGGGAGTCATATGATTGTTAGGGTTTTCTCTGTATTACTGTAAGGTCTTTACAATGTGAAGCGCCCTGAGGCAGCTGTTGTTGTGATTTGGTGTTATATAAATACAACTGAATTGAATCAGTTATGAAGGTGAAAAGAAGATGGGAAATCCACACAATGTTTACAAATGGATAAATAATGCTGTGGTGACTTAACTGAAATAAGACTTTCATAAAATGTACGACAAAAAGCATTTACAGTACAGCAGCTAAATAAATGCATGTCACACATAAATTACTGACTTGTTGGCTGTGATTCAGCCCTGTAGCTTTCTGAATTATGAGCTCCTCCTGTCAGGCTCTGGAGGAATCACAGCTCACAGCTTTATTGATTTTGTTGTCAGGCTGTCTTAATCCTGGTGTCTCTCTCCTCTCCTTGCACAGGCTCTTAAGGCCACAGGTCTTCGCACGGGAGACCCCCGGCTGAAAGAATGTATGGAGATGCTGAAGGTGACCTTGAAGACAACCTCAGACGGAGCGCTGGACCGACACCTCTTCAAAAAGTACGCCTGTCTTTAATTTACTGAGCAACGATGGATTGATATGCTCGAGCAGGAGTTTTCTGCACTCTCATTTAACAAACTGCAGCCTAATTGGCTCCGTAAAATTTAATAAAAGAGCCAGATGTGCAGCTTGAGTCAAAAGCCAGCTGTTGGATTTTACTGTTATGTATAAGAAGACAGAACCTTGCATTATTGAGACTATATGGATATTCTTTATATATATTTATATATTTCGTGTTTTTAGCTGTATCCCGTGTTTAATACCCTGCCTGCTGTCCCACCTTTATGACCAGCATCAATGTTTCATCACAAGAATTATTAAAGCTGGTTAGAGTCCTCTGCTTGTCCCTGCAGCAGAACAGGGTCACCGCATGCCATTAATCATTCATCATCCCTCGCTTTGCACGTCAGCAACCTCATCTTCAGGTTTTCATCACCCAGAAAAATCTGCTCAGGGAAACTGGTAGACTTCAATAACTGGAAATCAAATTGATAATTAGGAGATTCATAGGTGAAGATTTGGAGAAGATTTGGCGTAATCTGATTGTGTTTCAGTGTTTGGAGGTTTAATTTTGACACTGGCTGCTTATTCAGAAAGGGGGGGGGGAGAAGGTGTTTTTAGTTTCCACTTTGCATAAAAAACTTAACAATGTTCCTTGTAATCTAACTCAGAATGATGGTGCACTTGAAAAGTCCACAAATTTACCTCCTGCCTCCTTTTCCACATGACTTTACTTTGACCCGAGGACTGAGGAACAGGAAAAACGGCAGTGCTCAGAGAATACAACTGCACTCGATCACGGCCGATATGTTCTGTGATGGTGGATGTTGCTGACTTGGGTCTGCAAGGGGCCATCACACGACCTTCAAATTCATGTTTATTTGGTAATCAGAACATTTTTAGCCACCCAAACCTGTTGTTGAAACACAGCCGGAGAGGAAAGAAAGATAAAATGACATCCCCACCTCCACCCTCACCCCCTTGTGTCATTGGATCACTGCTGTGTGACCCCCACCACCCTCCCCGGAGGAAACGACAGTGAGACAGAACTGGGTGGCAGCTTGGTGAGATCAGGCATACGATGGCTCACCGGGGAGCGAAAAATCCTCACTGAACAGACCCCGAGCCGGCGCTCCTGGCTGGCGTCCATCACTTCCGTGCCCCGGGCTTATTTATAGAACCTCTCAGAGGGAAGCACGTGAGCGGGCGGTGGAGTGTAGCGTGTGTTTTCTCTGCAGGGATTAGACCGCTCGGATGCAGTGAGATAGCCAAGCTGTAAATCTCTCTGCTAACGGAGAGCTTCTATCTCACCGCCTTGTTACATGGAGCTGTGTTTACTACGAGGTCTGCATCCATAATCGCTCACATAACAAGGCCCAGGACAAAATCTATAAGTGGTAAAAAAAAAGCCAGACCATGCTGCTTTAAGGGTGATCTAGAGTACAGAACGTGTTGGGTAAAGGAATACATATTTTCTTTTATTGTGTAATTTTAATTCCATGCTGCGAGGGAACAAGCGGGGATCTTTTCCTAAAACTACAGCAGCCGCAGCGAAAGGTCAACAGAGTCGGCCGAGTCGAGCTGAGGATACAGCTCTCCCAGAACGGTTACTGGAAAATTTTAGCCTGGAAATAGAAGCTTTGAACCAGAAAAGCAAATATAGTCAGGCCCGTCTGTACACCAGCACCACAGTCGGTCTTTGAAATGCACACTTTCAGCTTTAACTCAAGGGATTTAATAAAAGTATTTTATTAACTCTTTTTTATAAATTGGACTTTTTTTTCTTTCTTTTTTTTTTTTACAATTTTTAGATCCTCAAAAGTACTTGGACAACTGACTGACAAGCCCGTCAGCCTTTATAAGGTTTATAAAAAGATGCAAACCACTGGTTACACTCAACAAAAGCAAGGCCAGATTAGACTTTACCAGAGAATATCTGAAAGAGACTCCACAGATCTGGAAACAAATGTTTTAGAGAGATGAAACCAAAATGAGCTTGAACCAAAGAAACGGCTCCTGGTCTGAAGCATATCTGTCAAAGTGTTATGGTTATGGGCATGTATGGCTCCCAGTAGAACCAGACCACTGGTGTTTATTGATGATGTGCCTGCTGCCAGAAGCAGCAGGATGAATTGTGACGCATACACGGCTATACTCTCTACTCAGACTCCTCAAGTTTAGGTGTTATTAAGAGGAAACGAGCTGAGCGAGCGCAGACTCACTGTATTTAGTCTTATCTAGTGTTCAAAAATCAGAACATTCCCTAATTACATCTAATGTTATATTTAGTCATGCATGACCTTAAAAGCTTTGTGTCCATTAACTAGCTCCATACTTGTCATTAAAGTCTCAGAGGATTTGAAGCAGTCATAAAGGTCAATAAGGACATTCTGTACTCCTTAGCCTAAATATTTGTCCTCTTTCCTGCCTCAGATGTGTCCAGAGCAACATCGTTCTGCTCACCCAGGCCTTCAGGAAGAAGTTTGTTATTCCAGACTTCCAGTCCTTCTCTGCTCACATCGACGAGCTGTACGAAAACGCCAAAAAAATGTCTGGAGGGCAGGTCAGTGAGAGCAGAGCTGAGTAGAACTGTATCGAACCATTCTTTATAGAGCAGTTTTAACATTGTGAGTCATTTGTCAGATTGTCGAATACTTTGTGACATTAAATAACAGCCAGGACAAGATGGTTGGGAGTGAGGAATAGGTCAGATTAAACCTCATTGTTTCTTCACCCTGTAGGTGGCAGACTATATTCCCCAGCTGGCACGCTTCAGCCCAGACCTGTGGGCCGTCGCCCTGTGCACAGTCGACGGACAGAGGTATTCTGACTACGTGTAGAAGAACCTACAGAGGATGGTTTCCTCACCAGAAGCTTTGTAGTAAATGTATTTTTCACAAGTGGCTGTCAGATATGAGAAAATGGGGATGTGGTCAAGCCTTGATCTGTATAGGAAATGGTAAAAGCCAGACTTATCATTACGTAGATTTAGAGAAATTTTCTATTTCCTCTGACTCTGAAAAACTACTAACATACACCTTAAGAGTTTGAAGGTATAAGAATGGCAGTGCAGTGAGACACTTGTGTCTTTCGCAGGCACACGGTCGGCGACACCAAAGTTCCCTTCTGCCTGCAGTCCTGCGTGAAGCCGCTGAAATACGCCATCGCCGTTCACGACCACGGCACCGAGTACGTACATCGCTTCATCGGCAAAGAGCCCAGCGGCCTGCGCTTCAACAAGCTCTTCCTGAACGAGGACGGTGAGGAAACGGTCACTTCACACCTTCACATGGCGCACAGGTGCATGCACTCTCTGTAAGAGGAGCCATTCACGTGGCCTGGTTTCCATGGCGCCATGATAAATTGTTAAGGAGCGTACCTGGATAAAACAAAGTGGGCAGTGTGTAACAGAGACAGAAAAAACCTGAAAAACAACAAGCTGTTGGCATGTGGTTCCTTAAAAAGCAGGCAGAACGGAGCAGCTGAGACACAGAGGCGCTCTTTTAGTATCAGTCCTGCAGTGCAGGGGAATCAGAGCATGGTTTCCCACAGGTCTGAAATACACCGAGGATGTCAAGCGATATCAGTTATCACAATATAGAGCAGGTCATTTGTTCTTTGAGCACAGTGGGCCTTATGAGCTCAAAAAAACACTTTATTTCTGGACTCTACTAGAGTAACTTTGCATCTTGCACAGTTCAGAGTAATCCTCATACAGCTGTGGTCAGAAGGTTACGTTCACCTATCGTGGGCATTAATGTCATGGTGATTTGGGGTTTTGGTTGAATCATTTCAATTAAAAAAAACAAACAAGAAATGAGTGAATAAGTTTGAATTTATTTTAGATTGGATGGCGTGTTTAGGTGCTCAACTGGGAGTGTTTAGGGAAGCCATATGTTGACTGTTGTTGTGTGTTTGTACTTGTTTGTTGTTGTGTGTTTGCACACATCACATGTTTAAAACACTCCTTCCATTCCTTGTTCATATGTTTGTTTGTTGTTTGTTTGTTTTTTTGTTTTTTATGGTCTGTCTCTGGTTTTATATCTGTGAGATTATTCTGGTTTTGTTTGCTCGGATAAAAGAGATGTTGACAAAGTTTAACTTTGAGGATTTTATTTGCAGTTGAAAAAAGCTTATACATTGGAACATATGTTACTGCAATACTCACCATGTCGAAATGTTAAAGAGCAGTAACGTGGTGAAGTGAAGTAATGTGAAATGTTGAATACAAATACGGTTAGCAGTTTTTGTTCAACCTGAACAGAGTTGGGTTTTATTGTGTCTGTAGCTTCTCTGAGTGGAAACTGGTGTGAGAACGTTTCCAGGTTTCCTCTCTTTGTTGTTATCAAACCGAGCAGAGAAGTTGGTGGTGGCACAGATATTCCAGCTGTTTATTTTCCCTTTAAAAAAAAAGTAAAAAGAAGGAAACTTGGCTCTTCCTGTTGCTTATGACGATTACAACTCAGAGGGGAAGTGTTGTAATTGTGCCCTATATGTTTTTTTTTAGTTCACTTAGTAGATTATTCACTTGTGTTTTGATCTCTGGCACAAAAAGGCTTCCCTTCTTTTTCTTTTACTGCATACTTTTTGAGAAAGTAAACAGTAAGTCACAAATTACTGTGTTCCCAAGTTGCTTTTCCAAGGTCTTGTAGAACAAATCAGGTTCAACATATCCAGGATATCTTATCCTAAGGCGTAACATGAAAGGTGTTTGGGTTCATAAGGTTAACCCAGCATTTCCCAATCTAGCTTGGAGCGTGTTCACATTAAAGAGGCGGAGCTTGCAGCATCTGGCTAATCAGAAACATGAGCAGGACTATCAGCAGCAGAGTGGCCAACTTTTAAAAAGAACATCAAACAATATAATATGGAATAATAAACTGTGGACTCTATCAGCTTATATACAACAGAGTATTATGTGGCTGTGATGTGCTCAGTGAAGGTGTTCCTGCAGCATTAGCTTGCTAAAACCTGCTCCTATTAACTTCTATTTCCTGTCCTGCAGATAAACCACACAACCCCATGGTTAATGCTGGTGCTATTGTCTGCACCTCCCTCATTAAGGTAAGCTTTTATTCTACATATATTCACTGTGGAAGCAAATGTTCAATCACAACCCCGTAAATTTGATTTGAGGCCCCTGTGATTTTTGCTTCTTTATCGTTTTATAAACCCACATATGTAGATTTATATATGTTTTACTCCCTTAAAGATGATTTTTCTGGATGTCTGACTGGAGCAGGGAGTAAAATAGTTGGAGAGAAATTGAATGGAATAAAATTATAATCGTGTGCAGAACGTGTTTCCGCCAGATTAGTGTATACAGGGAGATTAAGGTTATAGATAATCATGCTGAAAGGGGATTTGGTTGAAAGCGACATCGCTCGGAGATCCTGCGCACACACACTCCACAGAGTGGGTGGAGCTGGAGAGCAGCTTCCTCCAGGCAGGTCAGCTCCACCACATTTAATCAGAGAACTGTTCTATTACCCGAGTGTTTCATTAAATATCCTCTTCTGACCTGCGTACAGACGCACAGGGAGCTGGGGTGAATACAAGAGCACCACCTGCTGATTGAATCAAAATTAAAAACTCCTTCCTCATTTGGCCGGTGAGGATGAGTCCAGGAGGGCTTTTTAGAGAGGAGTTTAATTACATTCAACAAGAGAGAGATGGAACGCAAAATCAAACAAGTTGGAAAATCTTCAGGCAAATCCTGGAAGTGAACATGTTGGAGTGCTTGTAGGAAACAGCATTGCATACTTTATTTTTCCCAAAAGCTGGAAAATGGTTAAAGCAGCCAAAAATGTCTAGCTTACTAAAATAAATACAGTATTGCAACAAAATGTCTGAAAAGGTGAAGAAGTATTTCCATTACATAGAAAATAGAAATAGACTGAGTGAGGCTACTAACAGTGCAGTGGTTTATAAATTAGAAGGTCAAAACTGAGCAAATGTGATGAGGGAAATACAGGGTAAGGGCAAGTTTTATGCATGTTTATCTCCAGAAACAGTACAGCTATTCAGATCAAGGACAGGCAGCTGAGTGAGAACACATCTGAGGTCAAACTCCTCAAACTGTAATAGCTGACTTGCAGGATAACACAGCAGTCTTTGTTACCATCAGATTTTGACCCAACACTGTGGAAAAGTGTTTGTCCTGTTCCTGATTATCTATTTTTTTGTATGTTTGTCACACGTAAATGTTTTAGATCATCAAACAAATTTAAATGTTAACCAAAGATGACACAATTAAACACAAAATGCAGTTTTTAAATGAAGATGTTTGTTATTAAGGGGGGTAAAATGTGAAAACCTGATTGCCCTCTAAACCTGGTGCTGAGCAACAACTCTAAATGTGCCAAAGCTCCTATTTCTGCCAGCTCTGCAAGGCCCCAGATACAATATTAAAGTAAAGGGAAGAAGGCACTTGTAGGCAGAAAAGTGTTTCCACTGATGGTTGTATTTTTAACATTTCAGTATGTTACGTCCCAGATCTGATACTAGAGGGAAGTAAAAACATGAAAGTGAGTTTGTGATGTTGCAGAGCTCTACGTGCCGACTGCTGAGAAGAAACGCGGATACTCTTGTGTTCTCTGCAGTTTTTATTTTGGAGATGCCGAGATATGACTTACAAACTCAAAACACGGCAAACTCCTCAACTAGCTGTAAGAAGAAAATTTGCTGCCCATAACACCCAATACAAAAATCTTTCATCTTTACCCTGACAGCAAGAACCCGCCCAGAACTCCCCCTTATCCTAAAAGAGCAAAATCACAGCAGTTTTCAGCCTCAGACTTGTTAGAGAAGAGCAAAAAAATTGCACAATTAACTCAACGAAAGGAAAATAAAGCCGCTGTGCTTTCCACTATCATACCGTCTCTTTTCATAAAGGTTTGTTTGAAAAGATTTCCATAAACTAACACTGCTTCATCATTTGTTTAAAAACAGCAGCACAACTCCAAAATGATGATAACACATCTACTGGACTGTGAAATGTAGACGATTTAGGGAAAGGATTATATTACATGAGGGTTAGTAATTCTTTGTGTCAATCATTATGCTTTTATATTGAAAAGGTCCTTATGAGTCACACTGTGGGTGGTTTACTCTCGAGGGAGGAAGGATTTAGGATTCATCTACAGGAATCCACAGAAAAGGAAAATGATATCTATAAAAAAAAGAAAGTTTTTAAAGTTGGCAATTCAGTAAGAACCAAGTAATTAAAAAGTTTAAAGGGGAAAAAAGGCAACCAATCCAATCCCGAATTCCTTATCCAAATCTCCTCCCTCCAACACTATAAACAGCCCAGCTTCCCATCCTTAAAAAGAAACATTTTATGTTGGTAATGTTATGATGAATCATCCCGTGTATCTCTTTTGGTAGAAACATTGTATGAAGATGATTGTTGCAAATTAATATCCAGCTGAGTGGACATAATGTATGTCGTCAGCAGAGGAAAAAGGTGAACCTTTCAGCTTCTGATAATCATTCCCACAAGATGTAAAATCAGCTTTCTTGAGTCCCAGCCAATCACTGTTTAAATCACTTTAAACGCTCTCCTTTGTGATGTACCTTTTCAAGGCTCGTTGTGTGGTTTTATGTGTTGTTGCATATTTTACAGCATTAGGATCTTTGGGAAATTATGACCACACAGCCTCAGGTCAATGACGTTGGTAATTTTTCCTTTTTAATTATTTTTTTCCCTTATTTGATCTGGATTTGTGAGAAGCTTTAGCCTCCACATGGCTGTCTATGAATGTTTTAATGTTGCTTTTTATACTTTTCCGCCTGCATTTCCCCTCCCCCCTCAAAAAAACCAAACTGTTTATACACCTGGATTATAAACAGTGCAGCTCTGGCACAAACACTGGTTTTATATCATACTCCATTCTTCTCTGGAGAGGGAGCTCTTTTTTTGTGCATATGTTTCTTTTCAAGCAATTTGTTTGTCTTTAGTAATCGGTATGAAAGAATAAGTCGTGTTAGTGGTGATGCTCGTAAATTCATGGGGATGTTTTGCTGTCTTTATTCAAAAGTGTGGTCCGTCAGTTTGAGAAACTTTTCTGGCGGCAGATTAAGAGCTCCATCATATGTTAGAGAAAAGTAGGAAGAGTCACACACTGATGGGCTCAAATTAGTCATAATATATTCATTAAAACATCCGTTTTAATTCTCTGAGAGTGATGATTTGTCATGAGCAACAAGGACAATATAACTCCAGACTGAGTTATGTTTTCGCAGCCATCTCCAGAGTGCCTAACTGGATTTATTTATTTAGTTTTATCACTTGTTTATTTACAGAAGCAATCATTTGTTCACGATGTCAGAGAGTTAGGGATTGGTAGGCACTAGTGGTGCAACGGATCACTGTTGATCCGTAATCCGAACCGATCCCACTCCACGGTTCCGCACACACGTGATCCAAAGATTCGAAAAAGAATAAAAAAAGTATGTGTATGGTGCGCGTGGTCAGTCTGTCAAGCCATAGTTATGGCCAGCGCTAGCGGTCCAGGTGGAGGAGTTTGCGGCATTTAAGCAGCCCTATTGGGGTGTTTAGCTGCAGACAGGAGGCCGTATTCCGTTGTGCAAAACAAGGGGTTTAAACTATGATGAACGTGCTTGAGCCACGCTATGATATCCTGTTGCACATCCACTTCAGTGACAAGATCGTTCCAAGCATGTATGCGCAGGAAAAGTCTAAAGTTATGGCTGAACTGTCCCAGGCATCTTCTGTTGCCCTAACTACAAATGGGTGGATCTCCAGGGCAACGGAAAGCTTCGTGAGCTTAATTTGTTTTTATATAATTGCGTGGAATGAGTCTTGAGTTGCATGTTTTTTAATAGGCAAAAAATACTTAAATAAGTAAATGGCGAGTTAAATTTGTCTTTTTGGGTTTGGTTTTTTTGGGGTTTTTTGCTGATCCTAAAATTGAGCTGATCCGTGACTTAAAACCATGATCCGATCCGAACCGTAAGATTTTGGATCCGTTGCACCACTAGTAGGCACTGGACTGAACTTCTCTAGATCTATTGTTTTGCATCTGTAATTAACACGAGGGCTTTCAGTGCCTCATATAATAATATTTAACCTTATACAGTCATATTTAGAGTGATGCACTGAGGAGGACAACACTGTCTTCCTAGAAATAGGGGATCAGGACCCCCAGGTCCCACCTTTGATTTTCACCTATGGTCACAGCAGATTCATCACTTTGGGAAAGCAAAATGACAGAGTAAAGGTTGAAGCTGGAGCCCAGAAAAACTCTGCAGGCAGCAGTAATTATAAATATCTGAGGTGCAGTTTAAAAGTAGAGCAGCAGCTTTCAGGGAGACTGTTACATGATCTGAAAATGAGAATTCATGCTCAGGCTGTTGAATAAAGGCAGTAATGTTCCCCGTGCTTCAGGCTTTGTTGTTCTTGTCACATTTGGCCAAACTTTTGGTTTTTGTCTGATTTAAATTGAAGGAGGTGAGTTCACACTGCGAACCACATGACTGAGTCTGTTATCTGAGAGATAACGGTCACTCACTCCATCTACTTTTGCTGTATTATAGTAATAATGATGAAGTTCTGCAGTGTTTAGTAAAGTTTTAAATTTGGTTCTTATTTATAGGTTTAAATACATTAGTGCTCCGTAACTTGATCTGGATCAACTGTATAAATATTTCTGGAAATGTTTATAAGTTTACTGTAATAATAAAAAATGTAGGAAAACATGATTTAATGAAAGGACTCAAATAGAATCGAGTAGAGTTGAAACAATTTAAATGACATTAGGTGTAAAATAAGTAAGATTTCATTCTACATCAACATCTGTATTTGTCAGTTATCGTAATTATCAATAAAATCTGCAAACAGGTAAGACAAAGAAATGTTAGCCTCAGAAAAGCTGAAGCAACTGTTGGGCTTAAAATACAGTGGCTCCTACATTTCCCACAATGCACCAGAAGTTTTCTTTGACTTTGACCTGTAAACCGGAGCCTTTAACCCTTAACCCCTTATTTTAGGGACTAAAATGACCAAGGAGTGAAATTATATTTTATAAAGCAGACGTCTTTAAAATGACTCTGCTGTTGTTTCTCATACTTCAATCCAAGTAGAAGAAAAACTTAAATGATACAAACATACTGTGATACATAATTCATTCAAAAATACCTCAACAAACCAAATCTAGATGATCTGGTGACTCTATAATACTCTGAGATCAACACAAACTGTAATGAAGTCTTCTTTACAAACATCTGGTTTGTAGAGATTCAGTGATTGGAAGTGAAAAGAAATGCAAAGAAAGGCTTCAGTGCTAAAGAAACTTAATATTTCACACAATTCCCCATCGTCCACGCCACACCAACGCACCAGTTACTGTAAATGACTACAGAAAGCTGTAGAAGAAGCAGATTGATAAATATGAACTTAATTTTGTGGCTCGCAGTGTGATTGCACCTTAAAGTCCAATCACGTAACCATACAGTAAACACGTAGTAATCAGTAGCTGTGCTCTTAAGTCACTTATTTAAATGAACTTTTTATTTAATTCTCTATTCAAAAAAGCAGAAGCCCCAGAGTGGATTTAACAATTTTCGTTCACCTCCTCCATCTCCAGCTAGTCTCCCACCCCTAATCTTAATTCATCTGACGTCATGCCTGAATGGCCTTTTTAACTGGTCACATGAGTAGTGATGTAAACCTGCACTGTTTTCCTGCCGTAGCTTAATTTCATAGAGACGTGGATCATACGTGATAGTGCTAATGTCGTCACACGGGTGACTGTTTTTCATGCTTTTATTACTGCAGTTTTTGTTTTATGAATCTTTTGATTGGTTCTGTTTGTGTTACAGCAAGGGGCAAGCAACGCTGAGAAATTTGATTATGTGAGTACTATTGGGAAGATTTATTGAATATTTAAATATTGACTGAAGGAGAAGTTTCCAAACTGAAGTTATAAAAAAAATGTCAGGCTACATTATTCTTGGAATTATACCTTTTTCTTCAACACTTACACTTTAAAATTGTTTTTATTCTCAAAAATTTGATTCTAATTGTGAATATTTCTACTTTATTTTCAATTTTATTCTTGAAATTTTAGCTTCATACTCAAAATTTCATTGACATTGGTCAAATTTGAATTGTATTTTTATATATTGTAGTTTTATACGACATTATTCATTAAACATTTTTATTTAATTAACTTTTCTGTTGTCTTTAGTCTTGACATAGTTTTTACTTTATTCATAACGTTTTTACTTTGTAGTCTCAAAAGTTTGGTTTAAATCTTAATATTTAATATTCTTAATATTTAGACTATTTAAAATTACAATTATTATTATTTTTTTGAATACTTTGAATATCCCTTTCTCTTTAAAATGTAATCTTTAAACTGTAAAGGATGATTTTATTGTGAAAGTTTTACTTTTTTAAGTATTATTTTAGTTGTAGA